ACATGTGTCCTTGTTTCGCAACCAAAGGCGGCACCAAAGCGAATCGGGAGCTCGGATTTCTGGGTGATCGATAACTTCACATCGGAGGTTTGTATTATAGTAGAGAATCACACCGTCACCCCTTCCGGTTCTATCGGTCCGAAGCAGCGACATACTGGGTAAATTGATCTCCGAATCGGTTATCTCAGGGGTTAACCATGTCTCTGTAATCATGACGAGTTCCCGCGGTTGTGAGGCATGGAGTTCTCTAAGTTCGGTCAACTTGCTTAGAATGCTTTGAGCGTTTGTGTACATGCAAGATAGGGCTTTTGTTGTTAGGAGTTCATTGATAGATGTCAACTTTGTGTTAGTTTTTAAGCCGGCCGTTAGGTGGCCGGCCATTAATTGTTTTTTGGTTTATGTATTTCAGTCGTATTGCATGACATTATTGAGCGTTCCTGAACAGAAGTTTCACTCGTGCTGTGCTCGGTCCTCCTGTGTGACGTGGGCGCTGTTGTGTCGGTCTCTCCGAAGGACTGTGCAAATAAGGAATTTGTTACGTTTGCAAGTTCCATTGAATTGCTTCCGACTTTTGGTCGTTCGCCTGCTGCCTTTAGCCGTATTTCTGTTGGCAACCTAGCTCGAAACTTTAACCAGCTATCCAACAGAACTTGCGTCATTCCCTCGGAGTGTAGTATTACTTTAATTAGTCTTGGACCGCAGCCCTTGTAGTTAGGTGATGACGGAACTCTTGTCAGGGATTTGGCAATAACATTGTCAACAGAGAGTGCTTCGCGGATGTAGCACCACTGCTCTCGAGCATGTGTTTGCACATCGTGATCAAAAGAATGCAGAAGCTCAGGAACACCATGAACAAATATTGTTTTCTTGCTATCCCTATTAGAAATACCGCGTTGCTACACTGCTTCTTTTGCGCGATCATTCCAAGATAGTTCAGGTAATATACGCACTCCGCTCGGTGAGTTGCGAAGACGAACTGCTGAGAGCAGGACAGCCTCTGTCTCATCTGCTGAGTTTAGTGTTACTCGAAGAATTCGAGGTTCACCAGAGGGCACTGAGGTTGGGTGACGCGCCACGCGTTGCAGCATTGCAGGCTCAACCCGAATGCCAATCACCTCGCAGATGGAACTCCACTGCTTGCGATCGTCTTGCAATTTGCCTTTTATTGTGCCAGATTTGGATTCGGGAACGTTGCTGCACACGATAGTTAGCGCAGCGTGGTTTTGTCTAGCGAGTGTTGGCTTTATGATTTTTCCCGGCAATTCAGGTTGTTTAGAGGGCACCACTGGAGTTGACGGTGAAAGCTGCTTTGCGTCGCGCGTGCTCGGTACTGAACCTGTGTGTTCCTCCCGATGTGTTTGTCGAGGCAATCGATGCCTACGTTACCTGCTTGTTATCCGCACCGGATTTCCTTCGGCTCTGAGCTGTCGGTGTCATGGCTGAATCTCCAAGTGAAGCGGCTATGGTTGGAGAAGTGGAAGCAGGCATGTTTGAGGCTTGCCCTCTTATGGGAGTGAGGTGACCCAGTGGGTTTAGAGTCACAGACGCTGCATTGCGGTTGGAACGTCTAGCTCTTTTCTTCGGTTTAGACTCAGAGCTAACTTTGGCCGGGTGAGGTATTATCGTGGCCATATTTACCTCCGAGGGAGCGATCTTAGTATTTACAAATTGCGCGATTATTTCAGTCATCCTATCGCATTTTTTCATGAGCAATGATAAACAGTTGGCAACTGGAGTGACTTGACATGTTGGGCAAAATCAAATTGTGTCAGCAACTTGGTTTGTCTGTCTCACTTCTTGGACGGATTTGCCTGCACATTGCAGACAGTACGATCTAATGCAGCTAGAACAGGTAATACTGATCTTAAGCACTTTACTGCAGTTGTCTGCACAACATAGGCGACGTTGAACCATTGGAATGCTAGTTGTCCTCTTATTGTTTACAGCAAAGCCTTGATGAGTGTACTTTGCGCTAGGGGTGACGCACGAATAGGTCAGAACACGCACACGAATTGAGAGTTGTTCAACCGCACCAGGGTTAGGCGAAGAGTTCTGGCGGAAGTTCTGCAGCTGGTCATACTAGTCGTGTGTATTCAGACAATAGGTTCACATAACCTGAAGGTAGGTCGGCTATTCGGAAAACGGGACTAATTATCGGGGCGTCCGTAAAAACGCCTTCAAGCCGTAGCTTTGTACGGTTGTCTAAAAGTCTGTGGCGACCAGCATTAACAAACAACCCAAAATGTCGGAGGAAGTCGATACCGATAATTGCGAAGGGTACAGATGCAACCAAGAAAACCCACAGAACATCTCAGCGGAGATTAAGGTCCAGGTTCATCATGCGCTCACCAAATGAAGCCATAGGAGCCGTTGGTCGCACGCAGGTTGTACGTATGATTTGAGTACTTGTCGTGCGCGTTTGCAGGGATGATGCTGACTTCTGCTCCCGTGTCGACGAGGAAGGTGATGGAAGAATGTCGATCCTTAACGTAAAACAGGCGATTTGCTTGGTTATTGACGGATACGTTGGTCCTGCTTGTCTGCGGGCTATTCGCTTCCCTGAAGAGGCTGAGACGTGCCTTATACAGGGAGCCCGACAACGTATAGCTCTTCCATCATATTGGTGATGATACCAACAATATTCTTCAACGGATCTGGTATTGTCGGATTGAGAACGTGCAGAGCAAATGCTGCGCTTTTTCGTCGAGTGAGAGGTACTTGGTGCAGCCACAGACGAGCCGCAATGAACGGTAGCCAAAACGTGATCTGCATTTGACCGTGTCATACGCTACTTCGAAGACTTTATTGCTGATAGCCTGCTGCGTAGTAATGCAATTTCCTCGTCTTTATGGTCAGATCGGCCTGACGACTTGGAGCAAATATGAGACTCGGTTTTCATCGGTGAGAATAGGTCACCGGAGTTACTCGTCATCATCTGCGGAATAGGTTCGAATGCAACGACTGCCTTGATAGCAAATTCTTTCAGGGGCGTATCCAGAAACACGAACATTATCGGCAACGGCTCTTGGAGACGTGTAAACCACAGTTCCTTTATCTTTTATTCGCACAAGAATAGAGAAGCAGCGATGCGCTAGGTTTCGCGGAGCGACGTCGACGGTTTGCTCTCTCCCAGCTTGAGACCATTGAGCTGTTCAAATCGAGCTCGTGCGCTGTGCTCTAACTCCTTTAGAATCGCTAGCTTCATCGGTTCATTCTTTGCCTCATTCGATAGGCAGAGTAGAATGTCCTTAACCAGCGTCGCAACTGACGGAGTAAGGTGTGCGACGAGTTGATTGTACCTCGGACGATCCGTCGAAATGCCCTTATTTTCCAGTTCGATCTCGAATTTCGCGAACCAAGCCTCTGGGCTTTGTTCCATGAAAGTTGGAACAGCCAAAGTAAACACGTTTACGCTGCAAAACGGCTCAGATGCCACTTTCGAAATGTAAAGCGAAAGATCAAGCATGAACAAAAACACGAGGCGACCACTAAACTTAGGCTAGAAACAAAAGAATCCACGTATCTACTCGAGAAAAAGGAACGAACTCATCAAAAAATACAAACGACGAAAAACGGTTCACTTCGCGCGTGCGAATCGGGTCAACAATTTGTAGGACTAGTAAATACTACTCCGAGATGGTGCGCCAAATAACGTGCGGTTATCAGGAGGAAATTGGAGTCGGACACAGCGGATTGTATTCGATGGGCTACAAGAAGACGCGGACGGATGAAGCGAGACAAGAGCAACACGTTAGCGTGGGAACTTACAAGACGGTCAAGTGTCGAGCCGGATGTAGGTCAACATGGACGTAATGTAAGAGAGATTAAAACAAGGAAGAATAGTGTACAATTCGTCATCAGCGAAATGGGACACAAAAGATAATAGTTATGTTTTGGGGCGCTACAAACTTTACTGCACTATATATATATATATATATATATATATATATATATATATATATATATATTAAATCCTTAGCATTTACAATTCAAATGGTGAAGTGCTACAACACAAGGCAGTTAACAGTAGATTGAAAGGGAAAACGAAGTCTTGCAGCAAATGCACTATTGTGCCCGGTCTTTGTCCATACCGATTGGCGTTTGTAACCAGCTGTGTTCGCGATCATTGGGCCGTCAACTGGTGAGTCGGGAGCGTCCTAAAACAGTCAGCTTCGACGTTTGCGTTTTTCGCATTGGATCCAGGTTTTACTTTGACCTCTTTCTAGTAGCTTCCGGCCTACGACTGCGTTCAGAAAGTTGGCACGTCTTAGCCACAGTGGGTAGGCATGCGAAGCACGTGCCGAATCCAGCGAAGCCTCCGCAGTATGATAATGCTATCATGAGGACGGCGGAGTTTATTAAATTTGAAGACCCACCGACGAACCTCCCAAGTACTGCTGTGATGCTGCCATCGAACACCAACAATGCTCCGAAGGTCTAGGTTCCGCAGCCGTAATGTATCCCTGTCAGAATGCTACTGGCAGATTTGCCATTGGTTGCAACCAACGGAATGTATTGACATGCTTGTGTCCAAACAGCGTGCAATTTGATTCTTTAATCAACTCAAATGAGTGTCATGACGAAGGAATATAAGTTCCTTGAGGATTATTTCGACCTTAATCTGGATGCTAGTGGCTGGGTGAAAGTGTAGTTTGAAGTTTTGCCAATTGCATAAGTGGGCTGTTTATTATGTCCAGCTTTTTCTCGGGATCTCACGTTTACTCACATCACATCCCAAGTTGGAATAAATACGAACTAGTCGACACAGTAGCCACGAAATTCAGTTTTATCTGATGGCGAAGAAAAATATATATTGAAATAACCATTGTTTCTTCAATGAGTACAATGAAATCTATATTCGACAGAATCAAACGTAATGCCAACAGGCTTTACCTGATCCACAAAATATTATAGCCTCAATGTGTTAGCTCTAATAGGAAAAATGAAACAAGAAACATGGCAACGTGTTCAGTATTGGGTCGATTCGTAATCTTTCACACCTCACCGCCAGACTCATTGGTGATGGCACCAAAACGATTCCTCAAATTCGAACTATCATGTGACGTTAGGGGCTCAGTGAGGGCCTGTTCGGTCAAAGTCCCACCGGATCCAGTTCCATCCATTCGCATCACACCGGGCGTTAAAGATGAAAACCCAGTGAGACCTCCCATAGCCTGATACGGACAGGGTTTACCAATCGGCCGGCCCCTGGCTGCACGCTCTTCTGCTGTCTCCATCTGTACGAATGTAAATACCAAAGATCGGTGAACCAGATAGCCTTCTTCTTACATATACCGGCGTTGATAATTTATCTACAACGATAAGTTACTATTTCGCCGTCGAAGTATGGAGTCAAGGATTACGGAGAGCATCCAAGTAATGAGCTTTACTTTAACTGATTTAGGGGGCTCACGTTGGTTTTAACTGGAAATCGCAATATGGGCCAAATCATAAAACGACGCGCAAGTGGCTTGAAACGTAAATCTGCAACGAAAAAGTACATCATCGCCTTCTTCCCACTTGGTATCACTAAATGAAGGTAGTACGTTTACAGCGGAAAGACTAACGCAAACCATGGAGCGGTTCTGCTTGCTACACATGCAAGTGATGATCCATGCATTGCAGTGGCACGCACACAGACTGTGCTAGACTAGTCAGACACTACGAAGTTGCCACAACATTGATCGTGATTGAGCAACATGTGAGGTAGAAAGATCATCATGTTCGTTAACACCCGATCAGCATCGGACTTTTTGGCAGGTTTAACCTAAACAAAATGATTCCTTTTGAAGGTTATGTAACCATCTACATACACCGCGTATGAATTCCAATCCTCAGATTTTATGCAGATGCATGCAGTTTTCGCAGCCCAGTAGGAAGAAGCGTTAGTCTGGCAGTTGTCCGACTGTGCTGTGACTGTCTGCGGCAGCGTTGATGCTACTAATTCCTTAAAAATAACCCAGCAGCCAATAGTACGACCTGTAGCTTTGGTAACCATCTATGTAGGAACAAAGTGGGAAATCTGGGAAGTTTCGATGTAGAATGCCACACGATTCAATGCCGCCAACAGCACCCCCAATGAGTTCTCAGTTATAATGACAAGGAAAGTTTATATTGCATTGTTGTTGAGACCACTCTTCCGTAGCCATGCCAAACTGGAATGCATCCAGCCTCAGCGAATCCCAGACCCAATTGGTTGACATGAGATTCTGTTGATCAAAGTCATTTGGAGTCTACAATACACTTATATATGAGTAAAAACACTCGATAAGTGAATCCATTATCATCGCGGTTCACATAATTCGTTGTAATCAGTAACTGTAATTGAAAACGAATCTAATAGCCTGTTTCTCTTTGTTAAAGGTTTAGTCATGTTTTACAATCTCATTAAGTTAAGACATGAAATTCGCTTTGTAAATCTATATAAGAATATCGGAAGACGAATGTTGTGCATTCTCATCAGCCACATCCGTGCAAGTAACAAAGGAACGAAAATAAGCTTACATGAAGCCGACTGCTGGCATTCTGATTGGTGTGCTACACGCTACCACGGTAAGCCTAATGACACGGTCAGCTGTTTGGAACACAGTGCTGATAATAATGGCATCAAAAAGCTATATATATATATATATATATATATATATATATATATATATATATATATATATATATATATATATATATATATATATATATATATATATAACGTGGGCGGGAGAGCTTGTGGTGCGCTGAGGCTGGTGGTGGCTAGATCCTGACAGATGGTCTACCCACTGCTGCTACTGTTGCGCCATAGTCTCATGTCCTGGGCGCCTCCACGTGGCGACCGCTGGGTGGGAGTTGGGTTTCCCCCTTCTCTCTGCTAAGATCCAGGACACCAATCCGCATGAGTCGGCTAACTGACCATGTGCTAGACCCGCTGCCTTTCGGGTGTTCATTTAATCGAAGGCTTTGGCTGAGGACCCGAGTCGTTCTCCTCTCAGGTGTGGGCGCCCTGCCAGTATCCTAGTCCATCCTCTTCGGAGGTTAGAAAGTGGTCGATGGCCCTCTTCCCGTAAAACCTAGCCATGGGAGACAACAGGTATACGGGTTATAAGCTCACAGCTCGATTGGCGTAGTGCACGAGTGCCACGCATTGTTTCTGACGGTGGGAGGACACCTCCGGGTGTTCAATGGTTTGCTACTGCCCGCCTCAAGCCAGGCAACCCCTGGTCAAATTGGTGCAAACCCGCCAAAAACCCACCTGCGTCTGGCCGTGGTCGCAGGTGCGTATCCTACTACGGTCGCAAAACATATAATAATTGTTCCAGTACCTCAAAGGCTGCGTGTGACGGCCGTCAAGCAGATCCCAATCTGTCTCTTCAATCACATTCCCGAGCTGGATCGGCTCCCCACTGCCTTGTGGGTCAGGCTATTGAGCCAAAAGCTCCGGGCGGAGTCCCTCAAGCAAACCTCCAAACCACCCACTGCCTTGTGGGTCAGGCTATTGAGCCAAAGGCTCCGGGTGGAGTCCCTCAAGCAAACCTCCGAAGCACAACGACCACCTCGCTTGCGATTGCCCACCAATGCAATCGTATGCCTGCACACAAAGCACTCAGCATCGGGTGCTGGAACGTGCGCACACTACTGGACCGGAACTCCAGCGAGCGCCCGGAGCGACGCACTGCACTGGTCGCGATGGAGCTGGCGCGCTACAACATCGATATTGCGGCGCTCAGTGGAACTCGGCTCGCTGAGCAAGGTAAGTTGCATGAAGCAGGTGCTGGCTACACATTCTACTGGGTGGACAACGCCGCCTCAGCACCACGTGAACATGGGGTCGGATTGGCAATATCCGATCGCCTCCATGGCCAGGTGCTTGGTGAACCAACGGGCATCAGCGCGCCACTGATGGCTGTTCGCCTACGACTCGGAAGGGGTAAGTTTGCTACTTTTATAAGCACGTAAGGTCCGACCATTTATTAACCTGGTGACACGCGTGATCCATTCTACAAGCAGATATCCTCCATGATACGGTCTGTGCCGAGGAGCGACCGACTATTTCTGCTGGGTGATTTCAACACGCGCGTTGGGCGTGATGCATCAGCGTGGACAGATGTTATCGGTCCGCATGGCATTGGTTCAGCGAATGCGAACGGTGATAGGCTGTTCTCACTGTGTGCCACTCAGGGCCTGACGACCACGAACACCCGGTTTGCACTGAGTGCCAGTGATATCGCAAAATGGACGCACCCACGGAGTGGTTACACTCATCTGCTCGACTATGTCATCGTACATCAACGTGATATGCGTGAAGTGCGCATGACACGTGTACTGCGTGGAGCTGAGTGTGACACTGCTCAAAAATTGGTGCGGACCAAACTGTACATACATTTTCGAAAACATATGTGGTGCACTCCCGCCGTGAATTGGCGTAAATTTAATATTCTCTCCCTCGGTACTGTGACGAAACGTACTGAGCTGGAGAAGCCGATGGCTGCACGCCTGTGTGATGTGGACTGCATAGCCACAGTGGGCGACCTGTGGCACCACATTCGCGATCAGGTGACAGCTGCTGCCGAGGAGACCATCGGGCGCGCAAACTTTAAACGGCCTGATTGGTATGATGAGAACAATGCTGCGATTGGCGCATTGGTACCGGAAAAGAATGCAGCATTTGCTACACATGTTGCAGATCCCAGTGACTTGGGGAAGAGTAGTCAGTTTCGCAAACTTCGACGGCGACTGACCCGAGAGCTCCGTCGCATAAAAAATGCATGGTGGACGGAGAAGGCGAAGCAGATGGAATGCTACGCCGAACGCCGTCAACACAAGGAATTCTTTGACTCCTTGAAGGCGGTGTATGGACCGAGATTGGAGCCTCTGAGGACACTGATCGATAGTAGTTCAGGCGCTACCTGCACCCAGACTGCAGACATAATGCAGATTTGGCGGAAACACTGACTGTCTTTTGAACAACCGTTCAGAGATCGACTGGCCTACATTGAACGGCCTGAGACAGCACGATGTGAAGGCGGATATGGCGGATACGCCGACACTGGATGAGACGCAGAGAGCACTTGCTCATCTGCGAAACGGCAAGTGTGCCGGAGCCGACGGGATCCCGCCTGAAGTATTGAAACAAGGCGGACCCGCGTTGTTGACTGCGCTGCACCACTTGGTGCAACGCGTGTGGATTGAGGAGGAGGTGCCTCCTGAGCTGAAGGATGCCCGTGTGCTACCACTGTACAAGGACAAAGGTAGCAAGCAATGTTGCACGAATTATCGTGGCATCAACTTGCTGAGTTGTTTGGGCAAGGTGATTGCCCGAATCCTGCTCAACCGCCTCGTCAGTCAGATTGTGGAACCAAACGTGGCGGAAGAGCAATGTGGATTCTGTTCGGGTCCCAGCACCATGGAGGTGGTGTCTGCGGCTCGTCGGTTGCATGAGAAGTGCAGAGAACGACACCAGCCATTGTACTCGCTTTTTGTTGATTTCACCCATGCGTTTGGTACGGTGAACCGCGAGGCATTGTGGCTGGTGTTGGGTAAGTTTGGTTGCCCGCGTAAGTTCGTAAGTTTAAATGTATGTCTGCGCAGTGGTATGTGAGCGAGGGTGCAGCTGAGTGGAGAAACCTCGGATGACTTTGCAGTTGTCTCTGGTGTGAAGTAAGGCTGTGTCTTAGCTCCTGCCCTGTTTAATATATATCTTCATGCAATGATGTCTTGTGCTTTTGATGCCGCTTGTGCTTGCGGTAATCGTGTGGAGCACCGTATCGATGGTTGGTTGCCGAACTTCCGTCGTTTCGGTGCGAGAATTCTAGTCTGTGAGACAACTATCCGTATGTTGCTGTTTGCTGACGACTGTGCGTTGTTTGCACATAGCGCGGATGTGTTGCAGCACATGACTAGTGTTCTGGCTTCGACAGTGGCCAAATTCTGACTCACCATCAACACAAGCAAAACTGTCTGTCTCTTTCAGCCTTCACCGGAGGTGCAATCTTCAATATTGCCGCGAATCAGCATTGGTTCTGAAGTATTGGAAACCACCTCCCGTTTCATCTACCTTGGGAGTGTGATTTCGACTGACCATCAGTTATACAGTGAGCTTCGTATCCGCGTGTCGAAAGCAGCGGCAGCATTCGGGAAGCTTGAGTACGGAGTGTGGAACAACCACCAGCTTGCCGTTCGCACGAGTCTGATGGTCTACAAATCCATGGTGTTGTCCGTTCTTCTATAAGGCAGCGAAACGTGGACG